GGGTAAAGAACATCACAGTCGTTTTTTCCATGTGTTGAAGAAAAAATCGCCGAAGTAGGAAGGATAGGAGTAGAGAAAACATCACATTCGAAAAAATCGTAAAGCACCCTCAAATCTGCGATTAGAAGAAGAAAAATGCTCGTTATACCTCAGATCTGTCGATCGCGGGGCAACGAAGCAAGAGGACGAAGGAGAGCCGCAAGGGAAGTCGTTAGGGCTGAAGAGAAACGAAAGGGGTAAGCGGGACAATGGGTCAGAGGAAAGCGGGGCCGCGGCCTAATATCGCGGTCGCGGATCGATCCGCTTCGCCAACAATTTGCCGCGAAACGTCGAACCAAACACCGGAATGCGAGACGAAATCGCTGTCGCACGCCGCGCCGCAGAAGCCGAACCAAACAGCGCCTATATCCCAATTCAAATTCAAATTTGAATTTAAAATCCTAACAGAACCATCTTAACCTCTTATAATTTCCATAAAATCTACAGTTATCTCATCCTAAATTTATTCTAGCCACACCCTTCAAAAAGACAGAGAAGAAACAAAGAGGAAACAAATCACAGGGAAAATAAAAACACAGGCAAAAAACTGAAGACAAAAAGAAAACAAATTTTGATCAGATAAGATAAATCAACCATAAATCTCTGCAAATCTCTTGCAAGGTACTCCATCTTCTACAAGCATCAATCTTCTACTTAATATATTTAAATCAGCTTCTTCACAAGCACAAAGAAAGCCAATGTTCACTAGTCTACTATGATTCAAGTGTACAATCTCAATTGAAAGTTTGGACTAAAATTTTGTTTCCATTGACAAATAATGCAATATTGGAAAATGCTGCATCAAGGTTTAAGCTTTAGGAACATTCCCTGAAATAATTTAAATCTTATTGCATGCCTTGACATGCATCTGCTTTCCTTTAAATGAAAATATCTTTCATGAACTAAATAAGTTATCAACCAAATCATATAACTAGAATTTAATTGATTTTAGCACAATATTAGTCAGATTGTATGATCACATTCTGATGTCAGCAACATAACATAAAATTTACAAGTTGCAGGTTTTTTTATTCATCTCATATAGTATATCTATACATCTTTTTTGAATATAGCCCAACTTATAATATCATCATAACTATGAATACATCTAATAAAATTTATAAACATTAATGTGAGTTCACTCGAAAATGTTGAAGGTGCCAAGGTCTTATTCAATCCGTTTCAGAGGATGGAAAATATAGAAATTGACATAAATTTGCATTTAATAATGTCAAAATTGAAATGACTTAT